CAAAAAAAAAAAAAAAAAAAAAAAAAAAAAGAAGAAAGAAGAAGAAGAAGAAGCGAGTCTGCCCCGTCTTCAAACATTCGGGACACAAACCAAAAGCACCCGCGAGGGAGGAATTGAATTACAGACACATTCGATTGCAGTTACTCTCGCTAAAAAAGCAAGGCGGATTCAACATTTGACGAAAATCAACAGCAAAAAAAAAAAGAAAAAAAAAGAAAAAAAAAGAAAAAAAACAAAAACAGCAAGCAAGTCTATCCCGTCTTCAAACAATCGAGACACAAACGAGAAGCATACACATTCGATCGCACTTAAGAATTACTCCTTCCGTTGTCAAATTTAGAGCGGTAACGCTCGCTTAGGAAGCTCAGCTGATTGCACATTTGACAAAAATAAGCAGCAAGCGAGTCTGCCCCATCTACAAACATTCGTGACAACCATCATAATTACAACGGTGAAGAGAACACTAGCATGTGAAAACACCCTCGGCAAAAATCAATTTCGACCCCTCCGCAAAACGCCCCACCTAAATCCTCTTCGTCCACCATCGTCCTTCATGTCGTTCGTCCACCATCGTTCTCCAACCTGACAGATACAATTTCATCTTCTCGAAAGCACCCCGTGGTGAAGTTCTCGCTTTCGGGAAAAGTCTACGGGAAGTCCGACAACCTCGGTCGATAGCATCACTCGCGGGAAAAGGAAAGAGCAGCGACATCGAAATCCGCCGCAGTACTCAAAAGCAGTAGTTAATGGTAAGCGAATTTCGGACCTACGGCGAGGGCCACCGTGGATTATTAATCCCCTTCGCCCACCATCTTCCCACTCAATGACATAACGATAGAAAAAAGCTAACGGGTCCAAAAGGGCCAGCGGACGCATCGTCAGGACACACATAAGAAGCACAGTGAACACACTGACAACCTCTGGACAACGTCGACGGATTGCATGACCCGCCGAAGCATCTAAAGCATGACTTAAAAATGTCGAAAACGCAATATAAAATTGCGAAAGCAGAATCTGAAAATGTCGAAAAAGAAATAACAAAAAAGAATTTTCTAAGAAAGGCACGTCGGAAGCGCAAATCGACTTTTCAGCATTCGCACCAGTTGGAACATAACTCGGAGCTTTACCATCACAAGCAACTGGAAACGATAGCGCCTTGAGAAGCCGCACGCAGAAAGTCCAATTCTTGCGGCTACATAAGAGACGAATTGCAAATTCGGCGCCTACTTACACGAAAGTCGAACTGCAAAATCACATGACTGACATAGTACCCTCTTTGAGAGAGAGAGAGAGAGAGAGAGAGAGAGACCGCGCTCCATTGATGGAAGGGCATCGGGCATCGTAACAAGCTAATTGATCGATATGACGAGGCAGAAGCTAATTCCTCAATATGACGTGGGAGAGCAATCTGGAGCCAAGTATAACTGAACGCATTTCGGTAGATGACACCATAGATTCTCACATTACGAAGTAACCCAAATCAGTGAATGGATGCAGGAAAACGGAAATTGCTTGACGGAGCAATCCCTACGTAAAATATCCAGACAAGTGCGCTGGCTGCGATAAAAGACAATGAAACCGTCTTGATGGCTAAGAACAAGTATCAACCCGTACTCACAGCATGCACACCTGACTTCAACATGAACATCCTCTGTTCAACACAGACAAGAAACCGTCATATCAGTCGACCTTATAAACAAATGTAATCAACAATAGTTGTGTTCCGCGAATTAGTTAAAGTAACTATGTGCTGGACGTCTACGCCCTAACTTAATCAATGTACTAAACCGAGAACAATGATCGGCAGCAGCATACGGCTGACACTATAGATTGCTTCAACTCAGCATAAAAGCGAGTCGTTTGAAACATCCGAGAGAGCAGCATCTAAGCACCCCGAAGAGAGCTGTACGTCATGTAAAACACAATCCATGCGCTCTCCCAGACTCTTCCAAACGCATATCCCGTGAGTGAGCTAGCGCACCCATGCAACAAAACAGAAATTTCACAATACTGAAAAACTACACTTACACTGAAATCCTATTGTCCGTCTGGCCACACCCACCACCGACCCTCTTCACAGCTGCGGTCCGGCCGACAGAATCTCCTCCGTCAGCTTCTTGTCCCCTCCAACGGTGTAGTCCTCGAACTTCTTGAAGTTCGCCTTGAACAGCCCACCAACCTTCTTCAGAGTGGTGTTAAACAGCTCCTTGTCCGCCCACATGTTCTGCGGCATCAGAACCTCATCCGGCACACCCTCGACATGATCAGGGACGGCGAGATTGAACACGTCCGTCGCCGTGTACTTGGCCTGGAGGAGCGACCCATCGTGAATGGCATCGATGATCTTGCGCGTGTGCGGCAGCTTCATTCTGTACCCCGTGCCGTAGCTTCCTGCAACCCACCCGGTGTTCACAAGCCACGCCGTCGCGCCGTGCTTCTGCATCTTCTCCGCCAGCATGGAAGCGTACTTGGCCGGATGCCAAACGATGAACGCAGCTCCAAAGCACGCGGAGAACGTTGCCTTCGGCTCCTTCACGCCCACCTCTGTGCCGGCCACGAGCGCCGTGTACCCGCTCATGAAGTGGTACATCGTTTGCGCCAGAGTCAGCTTGCTCACAGGCGGAAGCACGCCGAAAGCGTCGCACGTGAGAAGGATGACGTTGTTCGCGTGCGGGCCAACACATGGAATCTTGGCGTTTTCAATGTGCTCGATGGGATAGGACGCCCGTGTGTTCTCGGTCACCGACTTGTCCGTAAAGTCCACCACCCGCGTGTGCTCGTCGAACACCACGTTCTCCAGGACCGTGCCGAAGCGAATCGCGTTCCAGATCTCTGGCTCCTTCTCCTTGGACAAGTCGATGCACTTGGCGTAGCATCCTCCCTCGATGTTCGACACTCCATCGTCGCTCCAGCAGTGCTCGTCGTCGCCGATCAGATACCTGTTCGGATCCGCCGACAATGTGGTCTTGCCTGTGCCCGACAGACCGAAGAAGAGCGACACCTTCCCGTCCTTGGACATGTTGCAGCCCGAGTGCAGGGACAGGATGCCCCTCTTCGGCATCAGGTAGTTCATCAGCCCGAACAGGCCCTTCTTCATCTCACCGGCGTACTGCGAGCCCAAAATGACCATCTCCCGCCTCTTCAGATGGATGTCGATGCTGGTTGACGACGTCATGTAGTGCGTGAAGCGGTTGGCCGGGAACCGCCCGCCATTGTATATGGTGAACTCCGGCTCGAAATCCTCCAACTCCTCGGGCGTCGGCCGAATGCACATATTGCGCATGAACAACGAGTGGTACGGCCGTGCAGTGATGATGCGCACCTTGATTCTGTTCTTCGGGTCCCAGTTGAGGAACTGATCGTTCACGTACACCTTGTCCAACGAGTTGAGGTAATCCACAGCTCTCTCCCGGTTAATCAAGAACGTCTCCTCGTCCATCTCAATGTTGGGCGAGCCCTCTCCCCACCAGAGGTCAGCAGACGTCTCATCCTCCTTCACCACGCGCTTGTCCTTCGGAGAACGACCGGTCTTGGCTCCGGAAAGAGTGGCCAGTGCGCCAGTGGACGTGATGTGAGATCCCTGCTCATACTTGATCGCCTCCTCGTACAGCTCCGCGGTAGATAGATTGTAAAGCACATTAGCAACCTTCAGATCCGTGTCACTAAGAACAGGTCGAGAGTGATGACAAACCGGTTTGCCGTTGGAGATGGAAGCAAGCGACTGGCTGATCGACTGCGCCGGAGCAGGGACCTTCTCGGACGACGCCGCCTTCTGCAGTGAGTGCAGTTCATCGACATTTTTCGCCGTCACGGGCGGATGGATGTCTCCATACGATTCATGATGGGGATCCACCTGCGCGCCGTTACAAGCACCGTTCGCCGCCATGGCTAGTTATGCTCGGCCCTACCGGTGATAATACCCAGGGCGTCGCGTTCCGCAGGACTACAACAATCACTAATACTTCAAGGAACCGATACCAGAAGAAACGAGAAGAAGAAATCAGAGCGGCCGAGTATCACGATCGTCGCGAGCGACGCTGCGGACCGACGATCACTATCGACCACTCTCTTAGAATCGCTGTTGAACTGCATTGTACACTCTCGGTCCACAAGCTGCTATTAATACTGCCGCGCTCGGGAAGAAACGTGGGCAAAAAGGATGAGTGTTCCGCAAAAAAATAAAGCAAGCAAAATGAAAAAGGACTTGTGTTCCCTTCCGACGTGTCACGTTGCTGTAACCTGAGCCGTTCTTTTCGACGAGTCGCGAAACGGACAAACTTTATGGCGGTGCATCTTTCCGGGGGCATACTCACACTAGCACTTTCCCGGATGCACATGGTCGCTTTTCCAACCTGGCCAAGATGCACCTTACCGCTAATGCGTCCACAGAGAACGGAAAGAAGTCCTTGTGCGAGTATGCCCCATGTTCTGGCGGAAACCACGTTCCCATTGTGCAAGTTTCAAAAATGTGGCGGGCGCATCTTACCATGTTCTAGCTAGAAGTTCATTCTCATTATGCACATTTCGAGAGTTGTGTGGCGATGCCCTTGGTGACTGGTGCGCCGTGGCGGTCTACAGACTCTACACCGTGGAACGTACTTTTTTCCTTTTTCTTTAACTTTCGTCTTTTACAGCTTGGCAATTGGCATTCGGAAAGTGGAAATTCGTGTGACGTGGTGTGGGGGAGATACGGTTGTATGGTCCATTAGAGACGGGTCGACGGCCAGGGATCCTCCTTGAGCCGCCGACCGCCGCCAGTCACCAAAATTGCAAAAATTGCAAATCTGGGCCTCTCTCTCCGTCTGCCTGAAGATACTCCCGCCATCTTACAATTTAAGGGGTTAGTCACACAGGCACTTCCCGCAATGCATCTGGCGGTAATTACGCCATGATCGGAATGCGTGTGACCAGAACAACGACCAGTTGAGCAAGATGAGAACGAATCTTCGCCTAGAAAATGGACCTGTACACCGTCATATCTTCTGCCTTCCGTGTATATGTTGAGTTGAGGAGCGGGTCCCACTCTGTGAAGGCATACTCACCACACGAGGACTTTTTGACTTACTTATGGATATAAGTGCAGTTAGATACATCTACGTCCGGGGGCTAGGTCCCACTTACACGAATTACGAGATATTGACCGTAGATAGCACAGATCAACGGTCAGAATCTCGTAATCCGTGCAAGTGGGACCTCGCCCTGGGTTGTAAATGCAGTCTGATACATGTAAGGTAGAGGTGATGTGAGTACGCCCTCAGAGCGGGACTTTTTCATTCCTCTTGGGATGTAATTGCGGTCTGATGCACCCACGAGAAGCTGAGGAGGGCCTCTGGTCGCTCCAAGTTAATTTTCTTCTTTTTCCTTTTATCAGATTTTATTTATATATTTTTCATAAAGCAAGCTACATTCTTTATCAGATATTACAAGGCCGAGAAAGGTATTACTGCAAGTTTAGGGGTGGCCGGACCCTGTTTCAATGTTAAATGTGCAAAAAAAAAAAACGAAAAAAAAACAAAGAAGCTATTGCTGCAAGTTAGGGGGTATACGGATCTGGACAGGTCGACCGTCCACCAGGTGTCGAGCTTTAGCACAGCTCCACGCTGTATGATTCGCCAGTTGAACGTCAGACATGTCCGAGCCGCACATTCAGGCTCTGTTGCTGACAGTACAAAGCTACTGTCCTGAGAATCCGGACTGGCGGCGACCTTCCCTTTTGACGGTATCTGAGGCAATGAGTCTGAGAACTCCTCAATCTGACAGACCCCTTCCTATGTGTCTGCACCTGAACTCACTGCAGTTCAGTTACTACACCCATGGACTGTTGAAATACAGACTCTGTGTTCGAATCCAGATATCAGATGGAAAGAGCAAAGGCAAGGGCAGGTGGAGGGGGCCGTTTCAGCTTCCCTCCACGTTCTTAGGGCCTCGTTCCATACCACTTGAAATGTGAGGATCCTTACAAAATCATCGTTCCACAGCACCCTAATCACGACGAAAACGAACTCCGGAGTGTTTCCACATTTTGGGGCTGTAGGGTCCGCCCTTGAAAAATAAGGGCGGCCCAGGCAAAATGACGGAAATCTCAAGGGAGCCGTCGGAGGTGACTTGAAATGTGAGGGTGGGACCTACAGGTCGCGTCATTCGCGGAGGCGGTCGGCAATTTTTTTTGTTTCCTGACGAACCGCGTTTGTTCCTGGTCCAGTGCGTGGACGACCAGCCCTTCGGCGGGACATTGGCACCGGCAAGACCCGGTACCGGTGGATCCAGTGCCGTTGCGAGGCCACATTGGCCGTTGGGAGGGGAGGAACGACTTTCCGGAAGCGGCAGGGGGGGGGGGGGGGGGGGGGGGGG